TCATTTGCTAACACTCGTGTCATTCCAAACCCGTATGACTTCTATGGAACACAAAGAGGAGAAATTTTGAGGGATGAGGACTGGAAACCTTGCCAGATTTAAAGGAATACTTCACCCAAAATGGAAAATTCTGTCATCATTTACTTATCCTCAAGTTGTTCTAAACCTGTAGTTTCTTTCTTCTGTTGAGCACAAAGAAGATTATTTGAAGAATGTTGGTAACCAAACAGTTGACGGTAGCCATTGACTTCAATAGCATGGAAAAAAATACTAAGCCAATGGCTACTGTTTGGTTACCACCATTCTTCAAAATATCTTCTTTTGTGCTCAACAGAGGAAAGAAACTCATACAGGTTTGAAACAAGTGGAGGGTGAGTAAATAATGACAGAATTTTCATTTGTGGGTGAACTATCTCTTTAAATAATTGTTCACTAGTAATCTTCCAAGTGAGAATCGGTTCATTGATTCAATTATTGATTCAATTTAGAGTTAAATGAACTAATCCTTTAGAAAAGTTTTCTGATTTACTGAAAAGATCTTAATAAGGACTTAATAGACTCAATGTCAGTATTTTCTGTGGGAAATGGCTTGATTTTGAAGTGATTTCGGTCTGTTCACCACACAAAGCTATTGTATGGTTTCAGACTTGATATATAGTGCACTAATCATATGGACTACATTTATGACACTTCAGTGGTACATTTATGATGCTTTTACTTCCTTTTTGAAGCCTGAAAGCTTCATTATGCATTTATTAACTGCATGAAAATGAGTAACTAGCACAATATTCAAAATGTCTTTAATGTTTCCTCAGAAGTCATACAGGTTTGCAACAACATGAGGGTGAGTAAATGAAGAGAGAATATTAATTTTTGCCTGAACTATGCTCTAGTTCCCCATCGTGTTGTATGCTGTATTAATAAGATAAGAAGTCTCGGTCCGTTCCCCCACATTCATCTGTGAAGTTATGAGGTATTAATGGCCTTTCAGTTAGCACTGTGAAATTAGCTGGAGTGCTGTCACTGATAACATCACAGCGGCTTCGCGTTGCCATCAGCTGAAATCTTATCAGGGACATCAGCATCCTATCTGTACTGACCCGGTTTGATGTCTACAGCTTGCCTCCTGCCTATTCCTCTGAAACGCTTCACAAAACACACATTGCAGTTCATTACTGCGTCAGGTTAGGCTAAATGAATGGATGCCATGGGACAGAAAATATGTAGAGCATCCCGAAGGTAACAGATACTAGAAAAATAATACTCTTTGAAAAATAGCTCCCATTAGGAATCTGAAGCATTCAATGGACCATTGCTATTTAACATTTTTAAAAATGCATAATCTCTGAGATCGGTAAAGCTTTGATTCCATCTTAATAACATGAAGAATCCTTGGCCAGATGCAACCTTTGCACAGTCATGAATATGACTTTGGGCCACATCAAAAGAGATGATGAATTAATTTTTATGTGAACAGGGTTTTGTTCGGTAAGTTGTGCAAGTTAAATCACAAAGTTTTCTCAAGTAAAATAACTAACGCCTCTTAAATCTGTAATTCGCAACCAGTGGGAACTTGAGCAGGTTCCATTGGGATAGATTTTCATTTTGCATTTTTTAAACCGAAGAACAAAAAGTATTTGGACACTTGAAAAATGTCAGAATTTCATTGCATTAAATAATTAAACGGTCTGTAAGATTTAAAAAATTTTTTTAAAAGAAGTCTCTTATGTTCACCAAGGCTGCATTTATTTGAGAAACATAGAGTAAGATCAGTAATTTTGTGAAATATTATTACACTTTTAAATAACTGTTTTTTGATCGAACATATTTTAAAATGTAACCTGTGATGTTAAAGCTGAATTTTTAGCATCATTACTCCAGTCTTCAGTGTCACATGATCCTTCAGAAATCATTCTAATATGCTGATTTGCTGCTCAAGAAACATTTCTTATTATTATCAATGTTGAAAACAGTTGAGCTGCTTAATATTTTTGTGGAAACAGTGATGCATATTTTCAGTAATAATTAAACGGTCTGTAAGATTTTAAAAAATGTTTTTAAAAGAAGTCTCTTATGTTCACCAAGGCTGCATTTATTTGAGAAACATAGAGTAAGATCAGTAATTTTGTGAAATATTATTACACTTTTAAATAACTGTTTTTTGATCGAACATATTTTAAAATGTAACCTGTGATGTTAAAGCTGAATTTTTAGCATCATTACTCCAGTCTTCAGTGTCACATGATCCTTCAGAAATCATTCTAATATGCTGATTTGCTGCTCAAGAAACATTTCTTATTATTATCAATGTTGAAAACAGTTGAGCTGCTTAATATTTTTGTGGAAACAGTGATGCATATTTTCAGTATTCTTTGATGAATAGAATGTCCAGAAAAAACAACATTTATTTAAAACAGAAATCTTTTGTAACATTATGTAACTTAATGTCTTTGTCACTTTTGATCAATTCAATGAACTCTTGCTAAATAAAAGTATTAATTTTAAAAAGTGTACTGTCCCCAAACATCTGAATGGTAGTGTAACAATATTACTTTAAAAAACAAAAAACAAAATTATTTTATATTACAGTACAATACATTTAAGAAGTTTAGCTTGAAAATGGTTATATTTCTTTCTTTTTTAAATGTTATGTATTTTATGAATAAATTTTGGTATTGAATGAATGGTATTGAGGGTGGAAGAGAGCACTGTACATTCATTCACCCCCACCTACAATCCCTGCTGGACCTGAGACTCAAACCCACAACCTTCGGGTTACAAGTCCGACTCTCTAACCATTAGGCCACAGCTGCCCCAATTGGTAGCAATAAAGAACCA